TATTTATTTATTTATTTATTTATTATTTATTTATTTATTATTTATTTATTTATTATGTCTCCTCTGTTCTGTCTCCTTTCTTTTCTCTGTCTCCTTTCTGTCTTTCTTTCTTTTTTTTTGTCTCTTTTATTTATTATTTTGTTTTATATGGTTTTCTCTTATCTGCACCCACTGCTGCTTATTTCCTCCGCTGCTTGCAGCAGCAGCAGCAACAGCAGCAACAGCAGCAACAGCAGCAGCAGCAGCAACAGCAGCAGCAGCAGCAGACAGCAGCAAACGGTCTGAGCAGCTCTAGAGGGTTTAGGGTTTAGGGTTTGGTCTTTTGTGTGTGTATGTGTGTGTATTGCTGCTGCTGCTGCTGCTGCTGCTGCTGCTGCTGGTGCATGCAGAGGACAGCAGCAGCTGCTGCAGGTATGCTGGGACCTATTGCCGTGTGTTGCAGCAGCAACAGCAGCAGCAGCAGCAGCAGCAGCAGCAGCAGCAGGAGAGTGGGCCCCCGTTACTGATGCTCTCGTAGCAGCAAGAAGGCTGTGCAGGGCCTCAGCTCATCTGCTGCAGTCGCCGCCAGCAGCAGCAGCTGCTGCTGCTGCTGCTGCAGCACAAATATGCGAGCTTGCATTCGCTAATCTATACTCAACAAACCCACCCGTTAAACTACAGGCACGATAGCTGCTGCTGCTGCTGCTGCTGCTGCTGTTGCTGCTGTTGCTGCTGCTGCTGTTGCTGCTGCTGCTGCTGTTGCTGCTGCTGCTGCTGCTGCTGCTGTTGCTGCTGCTGCTGCTGATGGTGTTCGTGGTGGTGGTTGTGCTGCTGGTGGTGCTGGCGTGCTGCTGCTGCTGCCGTTGCTGCTGCTGCTGTTATGTTGCTGCTGCTGCTGCTGCTGCTGCTGCTGCTGCTGCTGCTGTTGCTGTTGCTGTTGCGATTGTTGTTGCTGTTGTTGCTATTGCTGCTGTTGCTGCTGCCGGTGGTGCTGTTAGCGTTTGTTCTTTTTTATCGGTTGCTGCTGCTGCTGCTGCTGCTGCTGTTGGCGTTTACTGGATTGTTGCTGTTTCTATTTGGCTGTTTCTGCTGCCGTTGCTGCTGCTGCTGCTGCTGCTGCTGCAGGCTGAGCAGCTGCTGCTGCAGCTGCTGCGCTCGCGGGCTGGCAGCAGCGGGGTCTCAGAAGAAGCAGCAAACGCTTTGCTGTCGGATGTAGAGAGCAGCAGCAGCAGCAGCAGCAGCAGCAGCAGCATTACAGGTCGGCGGCTGCAGCAGCTAGGGGACTATCTATTTAGGGTGCTGCTGAGGGTGCATGCAGATGCAGCAGCAGCAGCAGCAGCAGCAGCAG